AGGGACAAGACATTCTTCAGCCTCAAGTGACCTGATATAGGAGCTGCTCACCAAACCTCTGCTCTGCTTCAGACCTGAGGCAATGTGCTGCAGAGTCACTATGTCTGCCACACATTTGTGCCACCCTGCTTGCTCCGGCCTCTGATAGGATGCTTTGCTGGCCCCTCAGAACCCCCAAAGGCAGTGGAACGTGTTTCAGGCCTGCCATCAGTCCCAGCCATTCATCTCCCCTCTCCATGATGTGCCAGCCTAATGTACTTCCTCCAGATCTGCTCCTCGCTTCTGGCCTTGGCCAGCACCCAAGGGACACTGGTGAGCCACACACTTGCTTTTAGGTGGAACAGATCCCTGCAAATCCATCCTATGGAGTGTTGCCTCCCCAGGCTCTGTCTCAGGTACATCACATGGATCACTTGCCAAATTCAAAACCAATGTCAGTCTGAAGCAACTCTCAGCTGGAGCCAGCATTACCTGGCGCCAGCATTACCTGGAACCAGTATCACCGAGCCCAGCCTGCGCTGCTTTGCCCAGACAAGGAGAGGCCCCAGCCAGCCCTGGCTCCAGCGGCTTTCCATCCACTCCATGAATGCACAGAATACTTTGCCTGCCAGGTGTGCGCTCTGCCCAGAGCCACAAGCAGTGGCTGGACTGGCACTGACTGTGCTTGGCTGCTGCCAGTGCAAACAAAGGGGTGTCCTGGCTCTAGAGCAGGAGCCCCTGGGCTCCAGGCCCTGTGTCAATGTATAGCAGTGCCTGCACACACCTTCTACACCAGCTACTGCTTTGAACCAAATGCCCTCCCATCTCTTCTGCTACCTGCGCTGACACCTGACAGTGTGTGCAAACACATCTTAATTTCACTCAGAAAAGTACACTTGACAGTGGTTTTCACTTTGAAAAAATGAACAAATCTGTCTCCCCTGTGCCAATAGTCTTCTGATGACATATTGGGCTGGACACTTTGATTACAAACCCACTGTTCTGGTTTGTTTCTCTCTCTTTTATTTTGACTTATTTGCTTTTCATCAAGCTTCCACCCTGTCAGCACTGAGTAAGTAGCACATATGGCTCATATGGGAAAGAAATAGGGATGTGGTGCCTTCCCAGCCAGGTCAACCAGAGGAACTTGCCAAATGTGCTTGTCACTCACTTGTTGTCCAGACACTGCCAGAATATTTTGAGCTGGCAGGCTGGCTGTTGGGTGGGAAACACTTCTTTCCCCACCTCCCAGTGCTCAATACCTGACTGTTTTCCACCTTAACAGCAGTTTCTCTGCTGGATTTGTTCCAGATCCTGGCTGTTCTGGTTCAGCTAGATCAGGAATGCCACAGCTCCTTTGCCTGGACAGTCTTATCTGAAAAAGATATTTTGGCCTGCCTTTGACAAACTGCCTTTCATTCACTTTTCCTTATAGTGTGGATTCTGTTGCAGTGTTAGCTCTTGTTGAATGTCACGGTGTGTTTCCCAACCCTCTGGACAGTCATTCCTTCCCCAGACTTTGCCATTCCCAGGTCTTCCTCCAGCCCCTACATGATATGCGCTTGTGGTGTATGAAGGCAACTCTTTAAATCGTTCCTGGAGGGGGACTGAGCAGGTATCACCTCAAAGTATGGTCCTACTAGAACAGAAGTTCTCCCCAGCTTGTCATTTGGCCCCACCGAATGTTGAACTCTGGCCTGGTCACTGTAATGACCACAACAGGAGCACTGCATCAGAGACACTCCAGAAAAGGGAGTTTTCAATAGGTAGCACACTGAAATCTTGGGATTCACAGAGGCATCGAAGGCTGGAATGACTTCAGTGATGGTGTGAGAATCTTCTCCAGCCTCACTGAGAATTTCTTGCCATTCTGGATCATTTAGTCAGTCCACATTTGAACAAGAATGTGGTTCAGACAGAATAGGGGATGTAGGGAAACTTTGACTCTTTTGCCTACAGGCAGACGCTACTACAGAAAGAAATTGCCTTTGTTGTTGTGAAAGTTTACTTATATTTTTGATAGAGGGTTTTCACTACATGTGCCTGAGCCTTGGACTTCCTAAATGTAACTCCCAGCCCAGAGAAAACTCCACAGAGTAGAATGTGATTAATCTTAAAGGTTGTCAGGATTTGATGGGCAGTAATGTTCTGTTTTGATGGGAAGCAGATGCTTTGTCTTGCTAGAGAAGGAACCATGCATGCATGTATGAGTTAGGAGCTGATATCTTGCGTGGTGGAAACGCTAAGGTGTTTAATGTGGATGTGTCCTGAAGGAAGAAGAATGTTTAAGGATACCCTGGGCAGGGTAAGCACTTCTCAGTAGCACATCTCCAGTGCACTGTTCTTTGTAGTCTAAGGTTTGTTCTTGCCTGAGCCGTGTATTTGCATACTCTGCATTATCGATTGTCTCCCATCCTTGGAGCCAAGACCATTAGTAGAAGGGGTAGGAAGTGTCAAACAGTACAAGTGTCAAACCATACCTGGAGTATCATATCCCACTGTTTAATATCTTTCTTCAGTACCTCACCTGATGACCTAAGTGCCACAAGCCAGCAGGGTTGGTAAGAACTCACTAGGACCTTCTCACAAAAGGAATGTGCAACCTTGGCCTGTCCTGTCTTGCTGAAAGGGTGATGCCAGTTTTGGTAACTCCATGTGACTCTGGGAAGGAGGGGATGTGTGCCGTCACCACACACGCCGTGGCCCTTGGCAATTGCAGAGGCTGCAGAGGTTCTTGGCAGGAGAGTCTCCTGGGTGCAGAGTTGGGCCACAGGCTGGCACAGACATCCCGTTTTGTCTCCCAGAGGCACTGCAGTTAAACACTCTGAACTGTCACACAGGGAGCAGTTTTATATGTAACACATGGCACGGGAAAATTTATGTGCTGTTCCCTTGTGTAGCAGCTGTCAAAGAAATGCAGAAAAGCATGATGGTGTTACTAACATTGTAAGAAGTTTATTGGCTGCTGGTTGCTTTCTATCTATGTGACACAACCTATTTATCTTTTCCTTCTCTGCACAGCTGTTGATTTTATAGATGTCTATCACACCCTCCCTCAGTCATCTCTTCTTCCATCTGAAGAGGTACTTGTGTGAGGGCAGTTCTCTGTTTCTGATATTACTTGAGACCTTCCTCTGCACCCTTTAGTAGTCTGATTACCAAAACTAAATTCATTGTTCAAGCTTTGGGCACATGAAGGAATTATACCATCACATATTTCATCAGTGATTTCCATAAAAATCCTGTATTTCCATCTGTATTGTCAATCTGCTTTTTGAACTGTCAATTCAGAAAACCTTTATAAATATACAGAGAACTTCTTCATGGAAAAACAACAGCTTTGGGATGTAGAGAAATTATTAACTTATAAATCTTAAATACCACTAGCCTAAATTTCAGCTGACCTGTTAGACAATCATCCAGTTATTCTGTATCATGACATTCCCTGCAATTTTTGTGTCACATGCAAGTCTTGCTATGATTTTGTCATTTTCTTAAGTCCTTTTTTCCCAGGCCATTATGTATGTTGAGCTACACAGGTCCTAACCCAAATCTCTGTGGGATTCTGCTAGTGGCTTCTCACTTCATCTAGGCATTTATTTCCATAATTCATGTCATGTCTTTTCATTTAAAAGGTAAATATTTCTTTCCAGTCAACTAGCAACTTTTATCCATGTTATGAAGAAGCATCTGTATGCTTTCCAAAATCTCATCATACTGTATTGACTGGGCCATTCTTTTCCATATCCCTGTGCAATCTTTTATAGTCAAATGCATTGTGAGACATGGCTTTCACTTTCAAATTCTGGTCTTATTCTGGTTTCTACCAGTTTGTCTTACACAGACGTCAGACAGATGGATCTACTTCCCCACAATCAGAAGAGTTTCAGAAGTTCAGTAACACAGGTACAACATTTTATTTTGTTGCTACTAAACATTATTTAAATAACAGGTCACTTCTATAAAAATTAAAAAAAAAAATTCATGTTTCTCTGTATATAAAATTTGATGCGACAGATGTGTTACTGTTCAATATTTTCTCCTACAATCTGAAGTATCCAGTGAAGAACTTAAGTTAGGAGAGTTCCATGCATTTTTCTCTATTAATAGATGTTCTTTCTGGAAACTTCCTCCTTTCTGAAGTAGAAACCAGCACAAATTATTTAGAATTTCTGCTTATTTTCCTCTAGTGCTATTTTCATACTTCAGTTGTTAGTGTTTCTCTCACACAGGTCTTCTGCTCACAGAATGCTTATAATGGACATATAAACCACAGAATTACAGAATCATAGAATGTTAAGGGTCTTAAGAATCTTAAAGGGTTTTAAAGATCATCTAGTCCCAAATCCATGCTGCCATAGGCAGGGACACTTTGCACTAGATCAGGTTGCTCAAGGCCTTACCCAAGCTGGCCTTGAACACTGACAAGGTGAGGGCATCCACAGCCACCTTGGGCAACTGGTTCCAGTAGTATATAGACATATATACAGACATATATCGGTGCTTGAGACAAGACAGCTTTTAGAACCTTTTCTCACACTGCAGCAGATTAGTCCCAATGAGGCAGCTAATAGGATCACTCTTTAGTGATATTTTTTGTCATTTTCAAGGTTAATATTGAAGCTGTCAGAAATATTTGTGCTGAACACTCAAACGAGCAGATAATGTATCTGCTGTGCAATAAGTTGCATCAAAGAGTTCACAGACAGCACAGACAAACATAGCAATATTTCCATTTGAGTTTTGTAGTTCTTTGAATTGTCTGATACATCAGATATTTTGTTAAAAAACATTCCCCCTGGGATTTGCAGCTTGGCAGTGTTGTTGTTCCTCTCAGTATCTTCCTCTCAGTTCCTCTCAGCCACACTCTCAGCATGAGCAGGGCATTCTGGAGGCATCAGTGTACCCTGTGGACTCCAATTAACTGCCTGACGTGGAATATTCAGGCTCTATGGCAGCAGCATTTCTGCTGCCCTCTGTGTAAAACGAGAGCTCCCAGGAGTGTTAGCACATGCTGAAAAGAAATGCTGATGTTCTAATCTGCTAGAGCAAAACTTCTCATCCTTACCCTTCTGTTAAGACATAGCTGGGTACTCGACCATGGCAATGGTAAGGACATACTTTGCTTATAAAAATCAATAAGAATCAGATCAAACTGAAGTAAAGTGTATTTCTTGCAGGCTGTTTGTGTGTCATACTGTGGCTGACATGATGTGTTGCCTGGCAAAGGAATGTGTTTTGGAGATCTATTAGACATGCTTAATGGAGAAATCTATGCTGGCCCAGGAAAAAGAAGTAGTGGGAAACACGAACTGAAATCTGGAACAAAGTTACTAATAATCATTAATGAGGGCCTTGAATGCATCCTCTGGGATGAAAAGCAGCTCAGGATGTTCATTGCATGGGCTATGAGACATGTGAGCTAAAACCCCAAATCCACGGACCTAGAACACAAGCCCCAGGATAGTGCTGTTGGTGAAATTTGAGGGGCAGGGGTTTTTTGTTTGTTTTGGGTTTTATTTGTTTATGTGTTTTCTTTTTGTTTTGTTTTGGGTTTTGGGGTTTTTTTGTGTGAATGTGTGGCTTTTCTTTCTTTAAGTCCTGTCCCTCTGTTCTTAGTGGTTGCTGTGGTTGTGACCTTGCTTCAATTCACGGAAATCAAAGCAGTTACCTCTCCTGGTATGGAGTGTTGGAAGTTACGTTTTTGTAAAGGTGATGCTGTTCTTTTCCAACAGGGATTCCAAATAGCTTCCTGAAAAGCTACAGTGACAGGTAATCTGCAGTTAAGGGGAAGGTGTCATTTCACTGAGCAGAGGAAGGTAGAAACTGTGAGCTGGGATGTTGGGATGTTGGATGTTCTGGAAAGTGCATCACAGTTGTCTAATCATCCTCCTCCTACCAGAACAGCAAACATGAGAGGATAACACCTGAGCATTGTCTTAAAAAAAGATGAGGATGATATAGAGGATACTTTTTTCACCACACACTGGAGCTCCTGTGACATAGAAGATTAGTAGGGTGGAAAGACTGAGAAGCCAGTGGGAAGAAGAATAATGCCTGCAAATGTCTGTGATGTCGGAAAGCAAAGCAGAAATTACAGAAATCAGTGTTCAAAGTTTAGTATTAGAAAGAGAAGACAACCAGATTATGAGGTATGATTCATGTATAATAGAAATTCAAATATCTTTGGATGGAAGTATATTAGCTTAATTTTCAAGCCTGACTCTTTTGAGGCTATAAAAGGAAGTTAGGCAGACATTGCATCACTTTTGCAACAACCTTCTGTATGAAAAATCTCAAAAAATCATAGAATTGTAGAACAACTCAGGTTGGAAGGGACCTCAACAGATCATCTGGCCCAGACTTTCATGGGAAAGGGAATTTAAGTGAGACTATCTAGCACCTGTTCAGTCACCTTGTGGAAACCTCCAGTGATGGAGACTGGCCTTAGGCCATCTATTTCTCTAAGAAGATTGTTCCAATGAATGTTTTTTCTGACTGTAATAATTTCTTTCATAAATCAAGAATAAACCTCTCCCAGTGTAACTTGCACCCACTACCCTTTGTCCTTGCCATGTGGCTCAGAGCTTCTGCCCTCATTGACACACCCTTTAAGTACTGGAAAACTATGATGAGGGTATGCCCTGAGCCATTTCTTCTCCAGGGAGAAAAAAACCTAACTCCTTCATTCTTTCCTCATAAGGTAGGTTCTCCAGTACTTAATCTTTGTGGTCTCCTTTAGACCCACTCCTCTGTCCATGTCTTTCTCGAACTACGGAGATCATAACAGGACACAGTAATGCACAAGAGGCCTGACAACTGTTGAGAGAGTGGGATAATCACTTCTTTAACTGTGCTAGTAATACCTTATGGATGCAGTCCAGGATCATATCTTCCTTCATTAAAATAAGGACTCTACTGTGGTGGTTTGGGCTAGGCCTTCCTTGGTGACCAGTTTGTAACCAAGGAAGGGTCCAGATTTACCCAGTATTCCCTACGATTTTTACGTAAACCAGATTATAAGAAGAGAGGCCTTCGCTCTCTTTCCTTCCGGCGGCTTGGAGGTGCAGGTTCCCTGCTGTTGAGTCTGCTGTGTTGGGGAGCGAGGCCTGGTTAGGCCTTGTCGACCTTGGGAGACAGAGGTTGCTGGCGATCGTTCCGGAGCGGCTCTCAGTTGTCCCAGGGGAGTAGTGAGCTGTTTTTCTTTGCTAACTTCTTAGTTGTGGGATATTGGATCTTGGGATATCTATATATTTTATTTTAGTTTTGTTCCTTTTCCCTTCCCCCTTCCCTTTCCCTTGTGAAATTGTATATAAGTGTAAATATATTTATATATCTCACTTGTTTCTCTCTCATTTCGGGTTTTTTCTTAGTTTTTTTCTCCCTCTTCTCCCTGAGGTTGGGGGGGGGGGGAACGGGACTTCTGGTGGTAAGGTTTGGAGACTTGGCAGGGAGCCAGCTTCAAACCATATCACTACCTAAAACCATTACCAGCTTACAAAGTAGTCGAATGTCAATGGAAGGCCCAAAGTGTGAACCCATTCTCTGCTCTCCAAAGACTACCTATACCACACTCTACCTGTTCCACATTCTGTCTCTACACTCTACCTGCCCTTCCAGTCCCCACCAGCACTTCTGCTATCCCAAGGTGCCCCTAGTTCAGTGTTTTAAGCTGTTTCTTTCAACGCCACTGCTCACAAGGACTTGGGGTGTGAGGATGCACCAGACACAACCTGCCTGCCCCTCCTTCGGTGCCAGGACAAAGCAGAGATTCAGAGAACAGATCTGTTTCTTGGGGCATTCTGTGACCCATCAAGACAGCCATTGTAGGGCAATGGGCATGAAATGGGTGAGTGGACAATGGGTTCACAAGAGCAGGGAGGATTCCCCTTCTGCAGACTGTAGGTACAGCTGCTACAGTCTCTCCCTGCATCCCTTTGTTCTTCTTATCACACCTCTGGCCAATGCAGCCACTGTTCAGCCCCTGGGAACAGCAGCTACTCACGCTGTGACCCAGATACTTGAAGAGGGCTGATGTTGTAACTTGCAAACACTTTCTCAGATGATCAAAAGCAGCAGAGTTGAAGTCCAGGGTCAGGTACCAACAGCCAAACGATGTTAAATTGATTGCTCTCTTCCTTTCTCTTTTTCTTTTTTCCTTCCTTCCATCTCCACTCTTTCTCCCCTCTCCTTCATCCAGTTCCTTGTTCCCCACCTCAATTTTTCTTTCCCAGTCTTGCTTTCTTTTTAATCTTTCTCAATCTCTTCCTCCCTTCCCCTCTTTTCTCTGTCTTTTTCTGCATTTCATTCTCTTTCTCAATTTCTTTCTCTCAGTTGCTCCTGACCCCCCTCATCCTCTTCTCTCCTCCCTCTCCCTCCTTTGTGTCTCTGTTCCTTTCCCTCTTTTGCTCTCTGGTCCCCTCCTTTTCTGTCATTGGGGAGGAAAGCCCTTTCTGGTCAAGGCACTGTTCTTGTGGCCTGAGGGCACGGACAGTGAGTACCTGGAGAACTGGAAAGCTGGATCTGGCATTATCAGCTCAGTTGGTGAGAGCATGGTAATGGTTAATGCCCAGTTGTGGGTTTGATCCCTGTCCGGGCCATTCATTTAAGAGTTGGACTCAATGATCCTTGCAGGTCCCTTCCAACTCAGAATATTCTGTGATTATTGTAAGGAACTTCTTTCTTAAGGTCAGAGGCACATTTTAGTGCCTCTTCTAAGATTGATGCCTCCTATCTTTCATGGCCAAGCTGTTTAAGGTCAGAAAACTCCATACTCCACATGAGGCAGCAGCTTTAGTGGAGCTCATCAGCTGCATCTGTTTTAAACCTTCTCTTAGAGATGTTCCTTTATGCCTGCAATGGGCCCATGTTTTTCCCAAGATCAGTTACCTTTGCATCAGCACATTTCAGGGCACAAGCAGTCTGACTCCAGAAATAGTGTGTTGATGCAAAATGACTCCTGTTCTCCAGCTAAGGCAGCAAATCACAAAGTGAGGAGAAACTGGTTTTCCTTAACCCTCCCTCTAATATTCCACTCTGATTCCAAAAAGTCCTTAGCCAAGCTTTCCAGGATGGCTGGTGGCAAGGCCAGGTCAGCCCAGTGCAACGTGTGGGACTTCTCAGCCTTTCCCACACATGCCATTTGAAGCAGATAATTGGCCCAAGGTGTTGTCATTTAAGGAACCTGCAATGTTACCTTTCATCAGGTGAGCATTTAGGAATAAATCCTCGGGCCATCAGGTGAGAGATGAGCCCCAACAGTTTCAAGTGCTCCAAGTGCATCATGATTTTTCCACAGTCAGACCAGGCTGTTCATTTTGGAGGGTCATTATAACATTGTCCAAAGGGAGCAGGGATTTTCGGCATCAACTTATGGTTCCCCAAGTTGTTGTGATACTTGCTAATCAGTCAGCAGGTTTAAAAAGGTATCCAAGGTTTTCCTTCTTTGGTGCCCAGATCTCACTGTCACGGATACAGTTTTCACAGCTTCACACATAGAGATGCTGTCTCTGAGGAGCATCACTTACAGTGACACAGGAGTCAACACAGGGCGTCACCTTTTCCTAAATATATTTAGTTGCTGCCCAGCAAACTGCTTCCATATTTAGTTATAACATGGGAGGATTCCTTGTGTGAATACCTCAGCGCGTCTGGGAGGAGGAGGACCTCCCAGTCCTGAATGCTGTTGCTGCAAAACAACTGTGTCAGTGCAAAAGGCTTCCTTTCTTCTGTCTCCTTCCCACCTCCCCTCCAACAGCTCCAGCTCCCTTCCCCAGCAGTTTCACGTCTCCTTGAAGTATTCCCTGGAAATGTAGCAATGTAGAGCTGTCCAGGAACCTTGAGGGACTCATAAGTGTCCCTGTAGTGTGAGAGAGCCAAGTCTCTGTACAATGGGAAAATGGGAAATGATATCTGCATGTAGAACCTGCCCTTGGCAGCTCTGTGATATGCCTGGGTCCAGTGCTGCCACAACAGCGGTTCCCTGTTTTAAGTTCTGCTTCTTACCTTGCAGGAAATAGCCTCTTGTTTAAGACTTCAGAGCAGCACACATTGTGTGCTTGTGACTTGTTTCTTCTCTGTCCAGCCCTAATGTAGTCAGTGTCTACATTCCACTTACCATTGCTGCAGGAGTCAGACAGGTAGGACACAGTTTGGCATTATTATCTATGTGGTTTTTCCTCTGTAAAGTGTTAGGTTTTGTGGTATCTTTAAAGTGATAATGTTCTCAGTATTATTCCCACTTGCATGATCAAAACCTTTAGCTTTTTGTATCTATACATAACTCTTAATTGTTCCTTAGCACAAAAGCTTATATATTTCAATACTGGAAAACACTATACTGTACTGAAGCAGTTCCCAGCTCATTCTGGTGGCTCTATATGTTACATTGGTTGGGGTTTATCCTTTTGTTCACACTTCTACCAAGCTGTTCAATAATCTCAATTTCATTTACAACAGGAACATTCTGCGTTAATATTGCCTGTTCTAACAGAGAAAGTAAGAAACTGCAATGTCCTCTTACCGAAATAATACATTGTTAGTTTTGTTTTGGAATTGTTTGTTAACAACTTCTGCATGAAGCTACTAACAAGGCTGCCTGACCTTTAAATCTTCTCAGTAACAAGCCACTCTCTAGAGTTCCTGGCCTTCACCTGCCTTGTTCAAAGGGGACAGCACCTCAGTCTTTGCATTAAGTTCCTCCACAAGGACTCAGAGACATCCAGGTACTTCTAGGGCTACAAATGTTTTTCTTATGGGGCAACTTATCTCTG